CCCCCCCCCCCCCCGGGTGGAAGCCATTGCGGTATATCAACAAGGAGCACTTAAACACACACACACGCACGGACGGATTGTCCTCAGGGGGTCTGGCTGCGGATAAAAACAGCTGTCAATTGTAATGCGCAATTTGTCTGTTCCTACTTCATTTTCTTTCAAGCTTAATCACAGAAGGACATTTTTAACTTCAAAAAATAACAAAACACGCTCAATCTGGATTAAGAGTGTAGGTGCACATTTCACACGTTTGAATAGAAAGCATTCCATATGTCGGTAGCTCCCAAGATTTTTGAAGTACTTGTAAATTAAGCTCTTCACTCCCCAACTACAGTCCACTCTAACTGAATAATCAATTTCTTCATCGGTTAGACTTGGATGTAGCTTTGCAACTCCGTCGAATAAAACCTTCGATGTTTTCAAAGTTTTGACTTGATCCAAGGTCTTACCTAACCACTAAGACTTTCATACCTTATTTGTCGCCCTTATTAATCGGTGGAGGGTTTTTGTTAGCGCCCTCTAGTCCAAACATTCCGCACATGAGTTCAGAGAAATAGCACGGCAGGGACCTTATAGGGAATAGTTGGAGCAATTGGCTGCAAACTTGTTTTAGCCCATGCGACTAATGTAACTACTGATGTTCAGACCACCTAGCTTTCTATTAGCAGCATGTTAAGGTCGATAACTGGTTTACTTTTGAAAGAGAGAGTACATGCATTATACATCTATCAGTACGGTATGAGGATTCGCGCTAATCGAACAAATTAGCGACCAATGAAATGGCAACCCTGAGCAAACATGAACATTATCTAAATAAACCTGATCGATATAAATTGAAACAAGCTCAGGATAGCTCTGTTCACCCCTGCCAACAGTGTTCTCTTCAGCTTCTTTGGGACGATGCGCGTACACAATTGTCGAACAAGGCGGTAAAGGTTTCTGAACTGCTAACAATACTTCAGCAGTTATTATTGATATAATGTACCAAAGTAATGAACAATGATACTTACAGTATTCAATGGTAGCTGGTATCCTGGGCAAAGCAAACAGGATCGAAGTGAATCCAAAAATCTTCATTAATAACGCCATGCTTTTCTTGGCCGCTCTGTTGCCTGACTTGCTGTTGCGACGTATTTTGCAGATCAAAAAAGATTACGTAGATCTGCAAGATCATGAAGCGTCAACAGATAAAGTAACGGACACGCCCACTTGATTTCGTATTTGCAATAGTTTGTGGTATTGATAGACAAATAACCTTGTTGTCTGTTTGGGTCGCAAACCGCGGAGGTCAGCTTTCTAATTTCAGAACAAACTCTTCTGTGATTAATATAGGTCTATCATCATTCCTTGATTCATGTTACAAGCTATCGAGGTAGCAAACGCGACAATCTGAATGTATCCGAGCAGCGCTAAAATTAAGAATAAAATCTCATATAGGCTGCGAAAGCTAAAATTTCACAACCTTCACAGCATTTCTGTCCGGAAATCATCAAAAGGAATGTTTCCTTTGTGAAATCTACGCAAATATGAAACATGTCACAGTATGAAATTAATTAATCTGGTTTCCCAGCGGTTGTCAGAACAAATTTGACAATTGTTTTGTTTCGTGTTTGATTAAATGAATTGGCAGCCCGCAATTCCGTATTGAGTACATCGTAGACAAAGTCAGTCTGTACACATCTAGAATTTTCTGGGTGTTATTTTGTTTGAAGTTAAATATATCAAAGGATGTACATTTTGGCACGGGTGGCACATCGACAGATAGCGATCGAGGATAAGCCATATTTTACGTCTTAATCTAGAGGGGTTCCAGTTGGTATTTATTCACCTTTTAACCTCTTTGAGCTTCGGCTCACAGTTTCTGTCTGAAATTCCATTTAGTGGGATAAACACCATGGTCATTTGACCTTTCTGTCTTTTCCAACTGGCATCATTTCAGTTACTAAATCAAGATGCGTGGAAACACATGAAAAAAAAAAGAAAAGAAAAAACACTTTAATTCTCGTTTCAGCGTTCTGCGGGGAAGTTACAGAAAACTGGCTTTCAGTCAACTACACTGTACATTACATTTTTCCAACAGGGCTCGAGTAAGATGGTGGCTTCTGATTTTATCTTTTTCAGCCATAAAGCCTAATTAAAGGAACACTTGACTTCCACTGATGAAAGGCTCAGACAGAAACGTTGAGACTGTAAGGAAACGTTTTGCCACTTCTTTTGCAATGACCAAATTAACAAGTTTCTCTTTACTTGTTGAAGTACCGCGCACGAAATTTTCACTTCACACGCAAATGTGCATTCTTTTATTCTAAGAGTGGAGATAGAGCATGGTCCAATATGAAGAAAAACAGTTACTCACACGTCCTCAAGACATTTGAAGAGGGTAGACGTTGTTTAATTTCATTATTTTCTTCCTCTGTGCCTGATTCTCTCGTGACCGCACCACACGAAGGTGTTAAGTCGATTTTCATCTTAAGCTACTTACTTTAATTTCCAGCTTTTGTTTGTTTTATTATATTTCTCGCACGTATAAGAAAAAAAAGGCACTTTTTCGTTTCCATTGCTGTCAAACATTCACAACCGCCGGTTAAATTGGTTCTTTTGCGTTTGCCTTCTCGTATTTCATGCTTGCATTCCTGCATGAACACTGAGTTCACCAATCGGTATAATGATGAGGTAATTAGCACATTTATTATAATCGGATAACACGCCCAAAAATTAACGTACGATTTTAATTTTAGACAGCCGATGCACATGGAATTGACTTCAAAAGAAACTAATGTTGCGCTTTTGAATACTCTTTGTAATCGAATCAATAAATTAATTAGTTAACTCGTCGCAATTAATCGTTTAATCCTTTTATTGCTATTTCTTGTGAATCGCAAAGGCTTCCACATGGAACGTATTCTTTTTGTCTTACATGATAAGAAACTTGCGTGTTAGCAAAAAGGAAGAGGAATCTCACGCATGATTAGTACGCGCTAAAAAAAGACCGCCTTGTGCATTTCCGAGTTCTTTTGACAGAATCCTCTGAGAAAAACAGAGACTTCCCTTTAAAACTTTAATTACATTTAACTTGATGTGATATAAATACACATGTACAGCAGTACAGGTGTAACTATAGCCATGTTTCCAGTTATCTTGGGTCTCAACTCATATGAGACACACCCGACTCAGCCACAATCCCTTTATCGAAAATCAGCAAAACACTCTTGCCAAACACGCGAACCCTGAAACGTTTCCAAAAGACACGTGTTGTGAAGTACCGCCTGGCGCGGCGTGAGTACCACCGAACTTAATCCCGTGATCCTTGCTCCGTTTCAGCAAACGTCTGACTGCTTAGTTGCTATTAAGTTTGGTCCAAAACATGCTGCAAATGTTGCGTATTGACGTAGCACCGGAAATCTTACGTTGTTTATCGGTGGCTTAGACACCGAACTTGATAAATTTACACTTGTCTTATCACGAAAACGATCTTCCAAAAGACGTGACTTTTGCTTACCCGTTTTACGCAATAATCTAAACTATTTAAACATTTTCTCCGGAAGGTTCCGTTTCACCCAATTAGTGTTTATTTCCCGAATCATCCTGTGAGCTACGCCAGGAATATACGTAATTAAAACACCATTTTTTGAGGCAGTTGTTGTTTACAGACAGGCTAGGCAGCCGACTTAACAAAAACTGGAAGCCACTCAAATTTGCAAAGAAATTAGGTGTACCTACAGTCGAAGGTTTCGTGCTTGACTGCAAATTTCCCAGGAGAAGTGTATCAACTTCCGGTAAATTCTCCAGTAGGCAGACACGTCTCCCGAATGTGCATACTCTAAACACTAGTGAGTCTAATGGGAGTGTGATTCAAGGGGTGGGGGGGGGGGGGGGGGGG